TGTTTTTCTTTGTTGTTGTTGCTCTGATGAAAGACTATCCATCAAGCGCCCCCACCCCATCCCACCCACCCTCTGGACCCCCGACCATAACAATAAATTCGTATTGCTGACTTGTGAGTTCTGGTGCATTGGTGTTTTGCGTACGTGTGGGGTCATATATGCTACCACTATGCGGTATCTAGTTATTGTTGTTAGTAGTAGGAGTAGTAACAAATGCACAAATCAATCAACCTCTTTCTTCTTGACCATCATCAAAAATCGACCGTACTTTTGCACGCACCACCAGCTGACATCCTGTTTAGAACGTTCTTCTTTTTCACTTCTCTGTTGGTTTTGTTGAACAATAGTTCTTGCATGACCAATGAAACGTGTTTGAGTGCTTATTCCAAGTCATAATTATTGTTTGGTTATAAACACCAGCTGGCAGAGCATGCTTTTCACACTTTTGCAAGGTGCGCCATTATACTCATTATAGGATTGGGATCAATTAATTACAGTTGATTTAATCACGTGTGACAAGAGATTAGTTACAATCAAAGTTTAGCAAATCCAGCTGAACAGCAACATGATCAGTTCTGAGAATCCATCCTTCATGCTGCTGTTTTATTGTAGAAGTTATTTTACCTTGCTTTATTCAGCACAAAATATATTTTTTATCCTATTTTTTACCCCATTGATTGATAACAAGAACTTACACATTTTGACTGAACTATTATTCCTTAAATAGTAAAAGAGCTGCTCAGTACATCATGAGCAACTCAACCTCAACCTATAGCAGCAAAACTAATGAGTTTTATCAAAAAGGAACATTTTATGCATTTATGCATTGCCACTTAAAGTAATACAGGGAGCTAATTTTACAAACAATTAGCCTAAACAGAARACTACAAACTCTTCCTCTTCTACTTTTCCAGTCCTCTGAAACATAAGTTTGCCTGCAGTAAAAGTGGCACAGTGTGTTGGGAAAGTTTAGATCTTTAAAGGGGCAATAACATGTAAAATCAACTTTTTTTTGACTTTTATATCATGTTATAATGTTATACTCTCATAAAAAACATGCCCAAAGCCTTGCTCTGACTCATTCATGCATGTTTGAGAAATCCTGCAGCGTTTTTAGGAAGCCATGCTGAGGAGCAAAACGACAGGTGGGGACCAGAAACGCCCCTGGGACGTCTCTTTAAGCCGAACTTCCTCATGGCAAAGTGCCTCCCCCGTGCACACTGAAATGGATGGGACAGAAGTGGGAGGTGGTTTTTTTGGAAGGTGGTTCCTAAAGAGACAGAGGCCAATTTCAAGGCGTTTAGAAGAGGAAGTGATGAGAAGATAAGTTTATTTTCTATTCAGACATTAAAACAGCATTTTAATAACAGCTAAAGGTGACATAGATACTTTATTATGGTATAGTATTTAAATATATGCCTGAGAAACACATAATATTGCCCCTTTAACACATTTATAAAACAATRAAATTTAGGAACTAGAAGCTTTAGATGTAACATAAGGATTTTTTTAATTGGAAACCAGTTAGAGAGTAACTAAAGTTGGATAAACAAACTGACTGGCCAAAAAAAAAGGTCACACACTAACATTTTGTTGGACCACTTTTAGCTTTGATTATGACACTCATTCTCTGTTGCATTGTTTGAATAAGTTCTGCAATGTCACAAGACTTATTTCCATCCAGTGTTGCATTAATTTTTCACTAAGATCTTGCATTAATGATGGTAGAGTCTGACCTCCTCCAGCACATCCCAGAGATTCTCAATGGACTCTGTGGAGCCAGTCCATGTGTGAAAATGATGTCTCATGCTCCCTGAACCACTCTGCCACAATTCCAGCCCCATGAATCCTGGCATCCTGGAATATGGCCGTGCCATCAGGGCAGAAAACAATCCATTGATGGAATAACCTGGTCATTCAGTTTATTCAGGTCAGCTGACCTCATTCTTTGAGCACATGCTGTTGCTGAACCTAGACCTGACCAACTGCAGCAACCCCACATCATAGACCTTAATTAAATCCAGGTGGACACTGTTTTTGGCCGGGCAGTGTATTATCTCTTGTTTTATCATATCAACCCTTTTGCTGCTCAAATTTGAACATGATTGAAATATTTTTCTGTGAGCTTTTGAAGCAGCCTGATAACAAAGAAGGACTCGAGCCTTAAAGTAACAAATGCATGGATCTGGCATATCCAGATTAAAATAAAATAAAATAAAAACCTCCTAAGTTTCTGCCAGTAAAGGGCTAATGTTATGTAGCATTTCGCTTTAACACTTTTTTCTTCTTCCTACGATCTTGGCAGGAACTTGTGTGTTTCTCAGCTGCTGTGCAGCTGCAGGTTGTTTGAGTTCTTTGGCTGTCATTTTTTTGTGAACAGCCTAAAACTTGTTTTATCTTTTTAATTGTTTTTGTTTGTTTGTCTCTGTTTGCTACACACTGGTCACAATTAAGTTTGAACATTAAAGCTTTAAATTCTTGAATTTGCAACAGATCAAGATGCCGACTACAGACATAAATATACAATCAATCCCTAAAGCAGGAGTCTGCCTTTCATTTAAATGTTACACAGACACTGTGGACGAGGGTGTCTATGGGTTTTATTATGTCTAGACCTTCTCTATTGTCCATCTGTATTTCCCAATGGGATTGGCAGTATAAACCAATGGCCTGGGTAAACCAGTGCTACTGACTTTATTGCTCCATAGGACTAAACTGTACAGACACGTTACACAAAAACAAGCCTGTACCCAGATCTATGCATGTACCCATATTTAATCTGTCTTACAATTTAGGTGAAGACTCAGAGCAGGATGTACTCTACATGCATCTCCTTTTGTCTTTCTCTTATCTCACATTCTCTCTTACTCACACACATCACTCTCAGTCTCCACCCTGGAGGCTCAACAATCTCATTTAGCACTTTAGAGAGAAAAAAAAAGGTCCAGACACTTTATTACAGCATGTCTAAAAAGAGAAGAAACAGGAACTGCGGCAGGAAAAAAAAAGCAGATAAAAACAGAAGAAGTGTTTGTGTGTGGACAAGCCAGAGACACTGAAACAGAAAGGGAAGAGAAATTAAAATGATGGAAAAGGCAGCGGTGTGAAACAGTCAGCAATGAGTGCAAGGGGAAGAATAAGAGGGATGAAGATGGAGAAAATGAAGGAGACGGGGGGGTTAGCGTGTTGTTAAGAAATGACAGGTGCCAGCCAGTGGAACAAGCAGGGAGCACTACTGTCACCGACTCTGACACACACGCAGTCCTGCCCMGCCTGAACGCCTCTTCCTGTTTGACGCCGCACTTTCTCCCCTCTTCCCTTCTACATTTAACATAAGCGACCGGCGTGATGAGATATTAACAGCTTCTTGAAGCGTTACGCAAAACTCTCTTTTTTTCAACTTAATATACCGCAAATAATTTAAATGAATAGTGACTCTGATTGTAATCTTGTTCGAACCAAAATGGAAACTTTCCTGTGAATTACAGAAAAAAACCACAGTTGGGAGTTCCCCGGGAGCCCAGTTTCTCATGCAGCCTTGGCGGAGCCGATGATTCTTGTCTTATTGATATTCAACTAAAGAAAGATTTAAACACTTAGCCCCCTGATGCCAAGAAGACAATAGTGTTAAGTTGTCTGTTAAAATCATTTGACATCAAACACATCACACGGCAGCGCAGCAGGAGCGCGAGTGGCCAATCAGCCTTACCTTGCTGTTTAACAAGCCAGTCATGGGTTGTCACACAGGGAAGAATAATGCTGCTGGCTGGTGTGTTCAGAAAGGCTCTTTGCTCAGAGGGAGGTATGGATGAATGGCTCTTCAATAGAACATATATAATCTATAATTTTAGATATTTTTACAAGGTGAAGAAGAAAAGGAAGAGAAAGTTCTTTGCTTGCTCAGATTTAAAAAATGCACTTGGTGGAGCATATTTAACTCAAAAACTCCTACTTTGGTTAAAAAGTTATTTTGTTG